CTTCAAAGAACTTTCAGGCATGTTTCCTAAAGTCTTTATTACAGAGCTACAAATTGCCGGTCACCATCATGGACGTTGTGATGCCAGAATCTGACTTCCTCTCGCTGGCATCAATCTTTTCTTGCTAAACCCCTCCCTTATCTTGCAGTCACAAGTCACATTATCCAATTAGTGTGAAGGTCAAAAGTTTACTTCCTCTTTCTTTCCCGGGCTTTCCCCCCCCCCCACTCTAACCTATGTATTAACCCAGTAAATACCAGACAGTTTTGCATATTGTCAAAGCAAGAATATACAGTATTTGCAGCATTGACAACCCCATTGAAGGACAGCAGAAGTTACTTTCCTGGCTGTTGAACTATCTCCATCCAGCATGACTTTCTGGACATGTCCTAACAGGAAGGACTAAGACCACTACAGAACACTGCCCCAAGGGGTGTATCAGTGATTTTTCACTAACATGCTTTTCTCCAGCTACCCCTCCTTACATTGAAGAAGTTCAGGATCCCAGGAGGAGAAGTTCCTTCTCACTGCAATCATCACCCTCCCTGTCTCTGAGACCTTCTTCTCCTACGTCTCCAGTGACTGCCTTTGATGTAAACATCAGACTGGAGCAACATGGAAGGGATCTTGCATGAGAAAAGGATAAATATCACAGGTTATGCTTTTTGTGGCTCACATTACAGGACAGACAGGAGCTGTGTTCTTGAATATTTTTTCTCTCTCTTTCAGGTGAATCTTGGTTTTTCTGTTTGAATCAGGAAAGCCACTGGATATTCCACCCTGTCAGAGTGCTTTGAATTCTAATTCTTTTTTTAGAAAGAGGAAGGAGATTGATTCCACCCCATGAATTATGGGCCTCCTGCTTCTGTTTCTGCTTTTGCTTCTCCTACTGATGCCAGTCTCTGGGAAGCTGAGGATGAAGTGCCCACTGAATTTGGACCACCAGGATGGAGAAAAGCCATGGAGCTATTATAGGACAGGAGATCTTCTCATTGGTATAGTCATCTCTCCATCCAGAATAACACCTGCAATATTACCTTTCAACATGGCTCCTTCTAGTCAGATTCGGTTGTAAGTCATACGATGGAGTTTCATTCCTTCCATTTGCAGTTCTAACACTCGTCTTTTTTTCTTCTTGTTTTACTTGCTCTTATATTGTAGGATCTGACAAATATTTTGAATCCTTTTGATTAACACAGCCTCTCCCTTTTGCCTTATTTTTTGAGAATAGAAACATGAGGCAAATGAAACCTGAAAGAAGTCCACATTATTTTCCTCTCTGTGTTCAGTCCTAAATTCATGACTGAATACTGACTTTGGTTGAAAATGATTCTAATTTCCTATGCCCAACCACTTCCCTATTTTTATAACTGATTGATATGCAATGTCTGATTTTTAGAGGAATAGAAGATGACTTGTTTTTAGAACAGCTTCTCTGGGTCACTTATGAAAAATCTCCTTCCTTTAATGGTGGTTCTTCTTTAATGAATGCATTATTCTGGGCTATGAATATTTGTAAAAAATAATTGTATGTTTCTTTTTGAGGACTATCCCCATCCTCAACACTAACATTATTAAAGAGTTATGGGTGACTATCATTTGCCTCTAGTTTTTGATCAGTATTGGCTTATGTTTCAGCTAGTTTGTAGAGAAAAAAGATGATTAAATGGAGAAAAGGTATTGTTGATTTTGCTGTTGATGATGCTAATATTGACATGATCATGGTTTTACACTAGTTTATCCTATGGAAAGCTAGTATTACTACCCATGGTTTTCAATATTGAACTGCTGAAGGAGACTCTCCAGCTCCTGCATAATCTCACACTTGGCTACAATATCCATGACAACAATGATAACACCCTCGGCACTTCAGATGCCTTACTGGACATGCTCTCTACTGGAGAAGCCAATGTTCCCAACTACAGCTGTGGAAGGAGGGACAAGCTTTTGGCTCTTGTTGACGGAACTGACAGAGAAAGCTCCATCCAAATGTCAACATTAGCAGGCACCTACAAAGTCCCACAGGTTTGTGTTTGTCCTTCCCTTTCTGTAAAGTGAGTGGGGTGTTGGTGTGTAAGCGATAGATCCAACCATGTCTCCTCTATGGAATTCAAGATTATTTTGAATAATAATAATGATGAGTCTATACTTCGAAAGGCACTTTACTCCCTTCCAAGAAATGGCGCCAAGTTAATAATGCAAATCTCACTGCAAAAGCCTCTTTCTCCCAAACAGCCCATCTTCTCTCTTTTCCCAAAGAGTTTTGTGAAGTGTAGGCACAGGGCTGCAGATCCCCCCTGAGGTTTTTTTGTTGGAGGACTGTACTCCTGCAACATCACTAGCATCAGCTTGGATGATGAAAGGTTCCTCAGGATCAGGGTGTTTAAGAACTGGTTCTGCTGCAAATCATCTTTTCACCATGGCATTATTAAGTGTTATAAATAAGGACTGAGATATACAGTCGGGAGGAAGCAAGGATCAAAAGAGACCTGTCTTTTCATGACATCATCCCAATTGCTTAGAGGCTTCTGCTGCACACTTATGAAGGCGAGGCTCTGTGTCCAATCAAAGGCTCTTCTGTACAAGAGGAATGTGCAGTACAGGTAGAAAACCCACATTTGTTTACATGGTCTTAGCCAAAATAATGATATCCTCAATCCTGAAGAAATCTCAGATTTGGAAACCGAGCCTTATGGGATTACCTTTCCTACTGCTGATAAAACATTTATGTATTATGAACTCTTAGGGGCCACTAACATTAACCAACCATTTTATCAAAAATCTACAAATATTTTAGGCAACGTATCAACTATTTCTTGTCCTAAAATTCTCATGGTAAAATTCATCACAAAAGGTTTGAAGAGCAATATGGCCTCTGGAGAGGGTTTTCTAGCAACTGAACAATTCAAGAAATATCCTGACAGATACATTTGACAGATACATTTAGACATATAAATAATATCTGCCATTACCATTTGAGTCAAAGATGGCAACTGTAATTCTTATATATAAAAAGGGGAATAAAAAGGATCCTAGCAATTCCAGGCCCATTTCTCTAACAGATATTGTGACTAAAATATGTGCAAACATCCACTTGAAAAAAATTGATAGGAGGTGGATGAAAAGGGCATTCCTTGTAGAAGAACCAGCAGTGTTTAGGCAGATGTGATCCACTCTTGACAAATCTTTTGTCTTGAACCATCTAAGTATAAAAATATCAGTCAGAGGAAATAATTTGCTGCCTTTATAGCATTTGACACAGTAAACAAAGAAATATTATGGAAGAAAATGACCACCCTTCAAATGGAGTTCAGGAGATTGACCCTGATCAAAGCCCTTTCTACAAGCCCTGACAGTGAGAACAATTAATCAGTGGAATGGCTTGCCTCATGAAGTTGTGGGTGCTCCATTAATGGAGATTTTCAAAAAGAGGTTGGACATTTGGTTTGGATCTCTTGCTATGGCCAGAGGGTTGGACTAGAAAACCTCCATGGTCCCTTCCATCCCATTTTGGTTCATGTGTTTGAGAGTGTGTTTGGGGCTCAATGGAGCCAGGAGAAGTAGGATTGATATGTACCAAAAGGTAAGGCAAAGGTGTTGCCGATATGACATTTGGGTTCCATATGTGCTGTTAAGGGGACTTGGCTCCTATTCTCATAATAGTTATCTGATTATGGATAAGTGAAAGTCAAAAGTTATGGTTTTTGGAAAATGACAACGTTGCCCTATAGGGCTAATCGATGAGGAGGCAACAGAGCAAGTTCACACCTTTCCTTACCTGGGGGAATTTTTCTCTGTGACTGGATCTGGGCTCCCTCAACATCAAAGGAGCTCATTTAGAAGGCACAAGTGAATGCACTGTTAATTTTTTTTAAAAAAAAATCATAGGTATGCGTCTTTTTTGGACTGAATTATTAAATACAAAATACCAACGTTACCATTATGCACTTATATTGAGCTGAACTTTGGGATTTAATTTTTATCACTACTAGAACAAATCCGATCAAATCATGTGAGAAGTATCTTGAGGGTGGATGAAAGGACTTCAGCTGCTGCCCTCAGAGCAGAATTGGGAATTTTTACAATTTATAAAATTGGGGCATATAATTATTTTTAATAAAATTAATGGTATGGAAAATGATAAAGGTCCCCAAATGCTATTAAAAGAAACAAATTACAAATGTACCTTCCAAGTATTGAGTTCAATCTTCCAAACTCCTTACAATGAATATACTTGTATTTGTGGAGCTCCAGAAATAGAGATGTAATACATCCATTATTTTGAATGACAATTATTTAAGAAAGAGGGAGATCAATATCTTGGATTTAGAGAAACAATCTATTGGGATCCTAATATTTAAAAAAATGTATTTCCTCTGTGCTCAAAATTCAAAAATTGTATATATAATAATGCCCTTTTCGGAAGGAAATTATGGTCTGAGTGTGGTAAATTCTGGGCTATAAAAAATACTAATTTCATTCTTTCTGCTTATTCTATAGTACTTATTTTTCTAAATTCTGTTTTTACATGCAGTCTTGTTAATGTTCTGTGTTTTATATTCTGTATCTTGATATGGCCTAATGACTAATCAACAGGAAATGTTCTAATATGTGCATGAGAAAAAAGTTGGACTTGGTAGGACCCCAAATATAACACAGAATTCTTCATTGTTTTTTCAGGTCAGTGATATAATTACTTCAGAGGCTTTGAGTGATAAAAGTCAATTCCCTTTTTTCCATCTGATGTTCCCCAAAGTAGGGATCCAGTATCCAGCAATTGTCCAAATTCTCCTCCATTTTGGATGGACCCTGATTGGTCTCTTTGCTCCAGACACAGAGAAGGGAGACAATTTCATGAGGACTTTTACTCCATTGCTTCTCAGGAATAGAATTTGTGATGTTATATCACAACGATTCTCAACAACTGGACATACCACATTCCTCAGGGAAGCCCTCTCTAAGTGGAGACAAGTCAACGTCTTTGTTCACTTCATCGAATATGATTCCCCTTGGGATAGTATTCTTCTCTTCCATTCAGCACTTGAAGGTTTGCAAGGACCCATTGAGGGGAAAGTCTGGATCTTGACAATGACTGGAGTATTTTCAATTAAAAAGGATAGGCATCTCAAGCACGTCCATAGTATTTGGAGCTTTCCCTTTAAGCCAAAAAAGAGTTGGAAAAATGATAATGCCTTTAAAAGACATTTCTTTGTGGAACCTGGATTTCAAGCTGAGTATTTTCACTGTTCTGTTTCAAAACACACCTTTTCTGTCAAAGGCCGGAGAAGATGCACCCAGAAAGCACCAGTGGAGACCCAAGAGAAAAAGAATAGGATGCAGATCCCAAATCCAGCCATTAGTTACAGTGTCATTAAGATTCTGGCCCACGCCTTAAGTGCTGCATCCAAACCTCAGAAGAGAAGAAAGAAGGGAGAAGAGATGTTGGGGGCTCCAAGGCTGCAGCCGTGGAAGGTAGGGGGTCCCAACAAGGATCCATCAAACTAAATTCCTTTTGAGGGTCTTTTGTGCTCTCTGGGCTTCATGGTTTAAGATCTTAAGCTTCTGTACAACATCTCCTACTTATCAGAAGAGTGCTGCATTCTCCCTTCAACAACCAAGACCTTTTATATATTTGAAAAAAAGTTCTCAGACATTTTTTGATTTTAAGCTCCTGTAAATTAGGAAAAGAAACAATGTTTCAAAACTGATCAAAGAGAGAAGCAACTGGAATTAAAGAGGACAATTAACCAGTGGAATAGCTTGCCTTCAGAAATTGTGGGGGCTCCATTACTGGTGATATTTAAGATGAGACTAGACAATCACTTGTCTGAGATGGTATAGCTTCTCCTGCTTGAGCACGGGACTGAACTAGAAGACCTCCAAGGTCCCTTCCAGCTCTATTCTATTCTATTCTATTCTATTCTATTCTATTCTATTCTATTCTATTCTATTCTATTCTATTCCAACATGACGTGTGTGAGTTCCAGCACCTTTTTTTTTTAAAACAGTGTAAGAAAGTATAACAATACATGTGAATGAGTTCGGAGGATCAGAAAAAGAGATGCAGGGAAGGATCAGATAAGATGGTTTGAAGGGGGGGCAATCCACAGCTGCGTAACAGCCACAGGAAGTAACTCAGAAAAACTCATCCCTACATTTTTTGACTGTCAAAAGAGATGGTGAAAGATTTGTACTTTCACACTGCAGGATTTTGTTAATATAGCTGTTAATATAGAATATTATTGCTTTGACAATAGCCTTACAATAAAGTAGAATTACTTCATCTGGTCATTTTTCCTATCTCCTCTACCTGAATGAAGATTAGCCTTGCAACTTTCTTCTTAACAAATCCTTACTTTCTGGTAATTATCCTATTATTTGCAAGGAGTTCATGAATACTATTTATTTGTGTATTTTGTTTACTTGATTGGTGACCTTTGCTAGATTGTTATATGTGACTGACAATTTTTGTCAATTACATTTTCTCAGTGTATATTTTATCAGTATACTACATGGTTTAAAAATATTTCTGAATCTTTGTACTTCAATTTTGAAGATAATGGGAACACTTGTTCTCCCAACTTACAATATTTGCAAGTTAAACAACCATAGAAGAAAGATTCAAATGTAAAAATTGATCAGAGATAAGAAACCAAGATTTCTGCTTTTAAATTCCTGGATGTTTTTATTGTAGTTCCATCCATTTCTAAAGAAGAGGGAATTGTACAATCTTTCCCTGCTGAAAGTGTACTTGGATCAGAATGGAGGCGTAGCAGCAGATCTGGATATTATTAGTAGGGTGGTTCTCCCCAAGAAGGTTCCCATCGACAAGCGAATGGGGAGTTTTGAAAGACAGAGACTTACAATCAACCAAGATGCTTTGTCACAGTTAAAGTTGCTCAACAAGGTGGGGAAAATATTGATGTCTTTTCTCTTTTTTCCAAAGCTTTTTCAAATGGGCTAAACCCAGTCAAAAAAGTGGATAACCTTCACTGAGAATTGAATGTGTGGAGTAAAAGTTCTATAATTTTCTTAGGCAGATAAGCATGCTCCAGTTCTATTGACCAAGGTTTCCCTTCTGATGTTGTCATGCTGAATCCTGTTGTAAGCTGATCCAAAATGAAATATGGGATGATTATTATTTAGTACACAAATCATTGCCATTTAGTGTCCCTTCGGCAGTTTAGTGTCACCGTAAAATTGGTGAGACAGGGCCTCATATGCTGGAGATTTTGGTGTTAATAGCTTCAGGTTCACTAGGTTTTTTTGTCTTCTAATATCAAAGGTCAAAGCAATTCTGTTGACCAGTCCCTGAGTTCAGATTTGGACTGAATCTGAGGAAAGGGAATTCAGAGTGGATGGAGGTCCTGTTGGTCCAATTGTTAAATAAGGTTCATCTTGCCTTGATTGGAGTCAGGGGTCTCCCAAAATTGCAGGCTCACAGTCTGAGATGTTTTTAATCAGCTGAGAACATGCTTATAGCTGCCTCTCTTTAACCCCACTGAGATAGTGGAATTTAGGAAGGAGGTCCAAGGCTTTCAGTTCACATGAAATAATAATGACTGATCTGATGTGAGATCATTTATGGATTGATTGATTAAATTTATTTGCTACCCATCTCACCATGATAATGGCTTGAAAACTGAAGTACTGAAACATGACTTTGGTGAAAAAAAAAATCCAGCTATCAGCAGTAAAAAAGGGCAGTTTCAAGGGAAATATTACTTAGATTTGGGCATTCGCTTGTAAGAGTGCACTTCATCTGAAAATCCCTTGAATGCAATTTTTAACGTGATTTTTAGCTGCTTTAGGACACACTGAGAGGCTACAAATCAAACTAATAATAAATATGAGTGTGTATTTCCCTGTCAGATTGTCTCCCCTAATTGTATTCTCTTAACAGAAGGGACTTGTGTTGGATACCTTGTGTTGAATATCCCTTCCACACATAAGACTCACATTCATGACCCATGTGCTGCATGAAAAAATGCCTGACTCACCCTTTTTGAGGGACACGTTCTCATGACCTCACCTCCATCTCACCTCACTATAGTTTAAGAAACTAGTCAGCCAGTTTTAGTTCACCATTATGGTTGCCATATAAATTGAACACACACACACATATATATACACAAATAAAGAACATCTTTAAGGTTGACAGCCCTTATTTGTGAGGAAATTTCCCTTTTTATCTTAACTGGGAGATAATTTTGGACGACTTTGAAAGGGAAGCAGCTTTGCAATGTTTTATGTACTCCAGAAGAAACTTTCCAGATCCTACTGGTCAAAAGTTTCTTTCTTCCTCATAGTTTTATTCTAGTTTAATAAATCCAATGAAATGAAAAATTAATATATATTTTACAATAAAGTTCACTAAAATTTAGTATTTGTGGATATTTTAAAATCAAGCATTTATGAAGAATGGAGGAATGCATGTTAATTCTACTATGAGGAGGAAAACACTGGTTATCACTTAATGCTAAAATCTTTTCTCAATTTCATCCCTCCAGAATTTAAGTAGAATGGTACTTTATTGTAATCTGATATGCCAGAAGACAGATTGTTTCTCCTGCAACCATTTTGAAGGGGTCAGAGATTTCATATTTGCCAACGTGAAGAGCAGAAATGACTTGGCTGATGTTCATGTCTACCTCCATCTTACATGGCTGGTGAGTCCTGACATATTTTCTTTGGCATTTCTTCTTTTTCTGTTTAGTCTCTGCCTCAGTCTAAATGTGTGGAAAAATGCCATCCTGGATTTGTCAAAAAGGCTCGAGAAGGAGAGCCATTTTGCTGCTACGACTGCATTCCTTGTCCAGAGGGGACCATCTCCACTCAGGAAGGTGAATGAGACCATAGGGAAACTTTGATCAATATGCATGTTAAAGACACATGTAAATTTGATTTTTTAGTTTTTAATTTTCACGGTGTCCAATTTCTCCCATAATGGAAAAATAAGAAAAATATTTTGAAGGATGAGGTAAGGAGAAGGATGTTGTGGATTGCATGGGAAATATCTCTTTTATTTCCCAGCTTGGATGTTTCCATCCATATTTATCTTTCTTAAAAATATCTGTATTCTTTGTAACTTGAGGAATGATTTTAGATCAATGGGTTTTGTTTATTTAAACCAACTTTACATTATAGGCTGATAGATGCATCGATCAATCATTCATTTAATCAGTTAATCTTTAGTAAGATCATATATCCTTATAAACTGGAATATCTAATTGGGAGGAACAATAGAGGGAGAGATGTTGGCTTAAAGGAACAATGAAAACCAAACAGAGGAATCAAGATTCACCTGGAATTTACAAATAGTCCAGAATGCAAAGGCATGCAAAGTTGAGTTTCCATGTGATCTTCCATAGGACACCCCTACTGTGTATAATATTTGGCATGCAAATGTTCTGTTCCCTTAAAGGATTCCTACTTTATGGATCATCAGAAGCCTGCCTTTTATGGTGCAATTCCTGCCTTATTGGACAAACTCCCCCTTGAAATTGAATAGGCCCCCCATCCTCTTAAACCTCTGGAGATTTGCTACTTCTGCCAATAATTTGGGATAAGATAAGGTCAGTGCAGGATAAGAATCTGGTGGATTACCTCAGAGAAGGGAGGTTGTAGCACCAGATAGATTTTCTTTTAAATTTATGTTGTTGTTCTTTTTATAGTTGTATGTATTGGGGATTTTTTTTGCTGTTGTAGTTAAGTATATTCCATTTACTGAGACTTTTCTGTCTCTCTGTATCACATCTTATCCAAAGTTTTTATTGAAATTTGAAAGACTATAAAAGAAATATTACTTTCTTTTCTCAGATACCACAAAGTGCACCAAGTGCCCAGATGATCAACATCCAACTGAGAACCGAGTCCAGTGTATCCGCAAAGGAATAACCTTCCTGTCCTATGAAGAACATCTCAGCATCATCCTCATCTCCTTTGCTCTACTCTTGTTCCTAATCACAGGCTTTGTTTTATTCATATTCATTAAATATCTTGAAACTCCTATTGTCAAAGCGAACAACTGGGACCTCTCCTTCATCCTCCTGGTCTCCCTTCTGCTTTGCTTCTTATCCTCCCTGTTCTTCATTGGCCGACCAAGGAAAGCCACCTGCCTTCTCCGACAAACAGTGTTCAGCATTGTCTTCTCAGTAGCCGTGTCTTCTGTGTTGGCTAAAACAATCACAGTAGTTCTGGCATTCCTAGCCTCAAGACCAGGCAATAAAGTGAAGAGATGGCTGGGGAAGAGCTTGGCCAACTCCATCATCCTTTCTTGTTCTGCTATCCAAATTCTCATCTGTGCCATGTGGTTGGGAGTTTCTCCCCCATTTCCTGACTCTGATCTGAACTCCCAGCCTGAAGAGATTATCCTTCAATGCAACGAAGGCTCTGTCACAATGTTTTATGTTGTTCTTGGCTACATGGGCTTCCTTGCTGCCATTTGCTTCACTGTGGCTTTCCTGGCCAGGAACCTTCCTGGAGCTTTCAATGAAGCCAAGCTGATCACCTTCAGCATGCTGGTCTTCTGCAGTGTCTGGGTCTCCTTCCTCCCCACCTACCTGAGCACTAAAGGAAAATACATGGTGGCTGTGCAGGTCTTCTCCATTTTGGCCTCTGGTGCTGGACTATTGAGCTGCATCTTCTTCCCCAAGTGCTACATTATCATCCTGAGACCAGATCTAAACACTAAGGAACATCTAATGGCCAAAGCAGGGCAATGATTGTGAAATTGTTTCTTAGGCTGGTAACTTCTAATTATCCATTATTATTGGTTATATATTCTTCCTTTGGATTTCCTTGACAACTTATATTTATTAAAACTGAAGGAAATAAATATGTGAAGTTAATTATCAAGTAAAGTAATAATAAATAAATAAATAAATAAGTAAACAAAGGAACAAATAAATATTATGTTTTTTAAAACTATTGGTTTTCCTCCTTTTCCTCAGCACACATGTCAACCAATATTTGGCTTAAGCAACTCTTCAAGACAAGCGATATATGAGTCAATTCCTGGGCTTTATAGTGATGTAAGCTTGGCAGGTATCTTCAAAGATAGTTAGTGAGGTCTGAATCTCATCTCTTTCATGGTTCTTTATGAATTGGTATTTCCATGCCCCCAAGTTATGGGTTCTACTGGAAAGAAAAGAGTGAAGATGACATCGTGTTGCAGCTGCAACATCTCTCACCGGTTTTGGTGCTCCTTCTCTTTCTACTGAGGTGCTCTTTCTCAGCAATCTCCTTCTTTTCAACTCCAGATCAAGTCCCATCTTCTTCATGGCTTCCTAACTCATAGCCTCCAGTTCCAGCATCTCTGGGCTGAGGTGCTGAACAGACTTCTGGTGAGCTGTTTCCAATAGCAGACATTTATTTATTGCCTGTTACTTCCTGACAGTTTTGGCATATCAATATTCAAGTCAATGTGACTGATGTAAATTGAAGACAAAATGTATCCTGGTCTGGTTTGGGGAGTCAGTAGCTCAACCAAGCCAAGGCAGGTACAAGAAGGCCATGGGTCAACTCCCAGATTAAATGAATATGAACTTTACTAAAGGTGTCAAAAGAAAATAAGGTCATAAAGACAACACATGGATAAAAAGCATTTTAAAAAACCCTAAATCCTATGACAATTCTAGACAAAGCCAAATAACTCACTTTCCATATTTCCCAGCTTCATACCCTCATTTAGGATTCCAAAGTCTCTCAAAAGATCCCCAAAGTCTTTCCACCTTGTTTTCTATTGGCTTTCTGGTAAGTTGACTCTTATGGAGCCATAAGACTGGCTTGATCTTTAAAGAATCAGTTTCTCCTCTCTACCCCACTCCTCGCCTCCTCCCATATCCCTCACCTTCCCTTTCTTCTCTTTCTCTCTCCCTCAATCCTCCCATCTATATTTTCACCCCAATCATCTGCTAGCATCACATTTTTGCCCATCAATCACTGCCTTAGAACTGGAATCCAAATTTCCACATTTCATACGCTTAAAAGGAAAATTGCCCCACAGAATATATTTTAGAAGCAACTCATCTTGAAATTCTTTCCACACTTTGTGCTTTTATAGGGTTTCTCTCCTGGGTGAATTTTGTTAGAACTCGGGGAACAGCTCAGCCTGAAGCTCTTTCCACACACCAGGTATTGGCAGTTTCTCCTCCATGTAGACCCTTCTATGAGGAATAAGTTGCCTCTGATCAATGAAGCTTTTTCATTATCCATTCATTAATATGGGTTTTGTCCAGTGGTGGGATTCAAATATGTGAACAACCAGTTCTCTGTGTGGATGCCATTTCCAGAAGTTCGTTCTGGATCTGGGCAACAAAAAGTTAGCTACCGGTTCTGCCGAACTGGTGCGAACTGGCTGAATCCCATCACTGGTTTTGTCCTATGTGGATTGCTTCCTCTGGCCATGGACACTCCAAATCAGTCAGTCACCCAAACCCACCTGCCTCTCAGGGGTCTTGTGGTAAGGAAAAATTGGAGGAGGAAACATCATCTAGGTAATAGATGATGTAAGCATGAATATTCATACTTAATGAATATCCGCTCATCTACTCTATCTTTAAGAATGTGTTATTGTCTTAAGTAAACACACATCAGTTGCCATAGCAGTTTTTATAAAATATACTGAACTGAGAAGTGAGAACTTCAAGATCCTAATAGCACACCTTGTTTCTAGGTTTCTAATTGGCTAACACATTCCCACTCCTCCAACAATTTGTTTTTCTCACCCTTGGTCTGGGCAGAAATACTGGCCTACAATTAAAAAAATACAAATTTCAGGCAACAGATCCTTTTTCAGTTGAATCCACCACTCTGGGAACTAGTGAAGTCTCTCTGGTTCATTTGGTCACCTTATCAAAAATCTCAAGGCATTTTGAATTGATCTTGGAACTGATGACAACCCTAGATGGAAAATCAACACAAAGAGATGTCTTGCATAAAACATCTGAAGGCACAGAAAACTTTATTCCAGATACAGCTCCAGCTATGACTAAAAGTGTCAGAAAGAGGGATCGTCCTCCTTTCTCCCTTCTCCTTAGTTTTTTTTTTTTTTTAAGGAAGGGAGGGAAGACCATGGAATGGACCTCCAGCTTTCCTTCCTTCCCAGTTTGGCATTCACCTCTCACCCTTTCCCTATTATTGGAGGTGGCAAGGACAGTTGGTCTCTAGGTAGCTTCGAGAGAAGGTGGGCTCTTCCTGCAGCTCCTTAGTTGTCTGGACAGCGAAGCCTCAGGGATGCCCTCCTGCCATTTTCTATCTTGGATTATTTTCCCACTCCTATAGCGGAATGCTGAAAGCTTCCCATTTGGGGACAAGAGGATCTTATGACTTCTTTGGCTAAGGGACCAGTCTGATTCATGGCTGTTTTCCATTTTATTATCTGGATCAAGTCTTGACAGAGGATGTGAGGCATTCCAGGGATTGTTTTGCAGTGGGGTCACTACTTTTTGGATAAACCCCCAGTTCTCCCTTCTAGACCAAGCTGTCCACATTAACATCCCCCCCTCCAGATGAGAAACATAATCCATCAACAATCGACCAAGATAAACCAGAACACAGGGACTCTGAAGGAAACACTTGGATGTCTTCTGAGGTGGAGTTTCAAGCAAAGCCTCAGAGATAGGAATGTCACAGGTGTTGCACCACACCAAGTACATCTACACAACCAGAGGAACTGCCACAAGATCCCCCTAAACCAGGGGTAGGCAACCTCGGCTCTTTTATGACTCATGGACTTCAACTCCCAGAATTCCTGAGTCAGCATTCTGGGAGTTGAAGTCCATGAGTCATAAAAGAGCCGAGGTTGCCTACCCCTGCCCTAAACCAACTTCTGTGTGGTTGTGACAAGAAACCAGGTCACACCAACCACCGCTGCCACCATCTCAGCTGCAGACCTCACAGCACAATTTTATTACTTAAACCAAGAAACTTCAAAATATAATGGCTCTCATAGTATCCATATGGAAAGGCAACACAGAAAGTGTCAAGGAAACTAAAACAAAAACTTCTATCCACTCTACAATTTTCTCTCTCTTAGCCAATGATGTGATCCACATGCTGTCACTTTCCTGCCTCTTAGTCAGCTCTCATGCAAAAATTGATATTCCTAGAACAGATGGCAACTAAAAGTTCACTTCAGTTATAAGGAATTATAAAATCAGCTCCAATTTAAGATTAATGTATGGAGATCTCATTAAAAATTCTCCAAAGCACCAGAGGGCAGGACAAGAAACCATGGTTGGAAACTGATCAAAGAGAGAAGCAACCTGGAATTAAGGAGAAATTTCCTGACAGTGAGGACAATTAATCTATGGAACAGCTTGTCTCCAGAAATCATGGGCGCTCCATCACTGGAGCTTTTTAAGAAGAGACTGGACCACTAGACAGTCACTTGTTTGAGATGGTATGATGGGTTCTGCTGCTTGAGCAGGGGGCTGGACTGGAAGACCTCCAACGTCCCTTCCATCTCTATTCTATTCTATTCTATTCTATTCTATTCTATTCTATTCTATTCTATTCTATTCTATTCTATTAGAAATTCCCAGACAGGCCCTACTCTTAACATTAGGCTGGGTTGAAGGCTACTGAGTGCTTCCATGGAGATAAAGCAAAGGCAGCACTAGAGTTAAGGGTCACCAACCTAGAGTGGCACCAAACTCCATAACTCTGGGTGACCTTCCCTAGCAGCCTCTGGAGGCAAGAAGTCCCATTGAAGGACAGCAGAAGTCACTTTCCTGGCTGTTGAACTATTTCCATCCAGCATGACTTTCTGGACATGTCCTAACAGGAAGGACTAAGACCACTAGAGAACACTGCCCCAAGGGGTCTATCTGTGACTTTTCTCTAATGTGCTTTTCTCCAGCTACCCCTCCTTACATGGAAAAAGTTCAGGGTCCCAAGAGCAGACGCTCCTTCTCAGGGCAATCATCACCCTCCCTGTCTCTGAGACCTCTTCTCCTACGTCTCCAGTGACTGCCTGTGATGTAAACATAAGACTGGAGCAACATGAAAGGGATCTTGCATCAGAAAAGGATAAATATCACAGGTTATCCTTATTGTGGCTCACATTACAAAACAAACAGGAGCTGTGCTCTTGAATATATTTTCTCTCTGTTTCAGGTGAATCTTGGTTTCTCTATTTGAATCAGGAAATCCATTGGATATTCCACCCTGTCAGAGTGCTTTGAATTCTAATTCTTTTTTAGAAAGAGGAAGGAGATTGATTCCGCCCCATGAATTATGGACCTCCTGCTACTGCTTCTCTTTCTGATGCTGCTGACATCCCAGCCACTCTCTGCAAAGCTGAGACTGAAATGCCCACTGAATTTGGACTACCAGGATGGAGAAA